ATGATCACCGATTCACACCATTTAGTTCGAACCTCTTACCTCTACCGCACTGAACCTAGGAGCTGTTAACTCCGAGACTAAGACTGAGCCTCCATCCTTAAAAACCGATGGGGACAACCCGTCGGGGTTGCAGGCCTTATGCCTTTTGAGATAGCTTATTTCCCGGGTAACCTCGATTTCAGATGGAGGATTGAGGTCAACTGGCAGTATTTGCACAGTTGAACCGGGTATATGGTGTGCTTGTGCTCACGAGGGCCAGTTGAACTGTGCCTTAAAATGTTCTGCCTAACGTTCAACACGGCGTTTCTGAACTTGAATCCTTGTGCCGTCAGAATTCTTGATTACCTCAATTACGCCTGCTTTCCTTAGACCGGTACGTCTAATTATTCCGAAGAGATTGTGACTATTACCGATAGCCGCAGCCTTCTCCATATCTCTATACTTCCCTATCCATCACTTCTCGCGACCAGTCTTCAAACTCTTGATGATCTAGCTGGGATTGCATGTGAACTACCAAGGAGCCTTTCTGATTTGTTCAGGGATGTTCAGGGACGAAAAACCAACATCCGTGGTTATAACCGGGTCAGTTAACCACTGGCAGTTCACCTAAGGGAGTTGGCTAAAAGCCCACATTCGAAACTAATCAAGAAGAGGTGTACGAACCACATACACCTACTACCTCCTGGTTGTGGCAGTGGTCACCGGCTCGATAGGACATCCAGGTGCATAGGCACCTTGGGTGTTTGACCCCGTCCGAAGGGCGTATGATTCGATGGACTGGACACCGGTCCCCAATGGGTTGCGGTTTTCACACACGGCCCCGCTGCCTTGCGGGTGAAACTTTGTAGGTCGAAGGTTTCGGTTGTGAATTCCCCTGCCTTGGTCTGAGCAAGCTGGAAGTAGTCCATCTACCAACAAACCATTGATGTTTTTCTTTTTTCATAAAAATTACTGTATTTTGATTTGTTTGACACGCAATCTGAATTCAGAGCCGCGTGAAATATAATAAATGTAGTTATAGACCCCTATTCAGGGAAACAAAATAAAACGGGCACGAATACGCTAGTTAGTCAACTGCACAGAAGTATCCAGTGAAATAAGTAACCCCTCTGCTTACTCTCTTTCAATCCACTGACAAGTAAGAAGCTTCTTAACAAAATCGCCGTTTTTGGTCAAGCATAACAAAATAACAGTGAGCTTAACCCCCGCGTACGCGAGAAAAAACACACGAAAGAATGATTTGTCAAATCTGAACGCATATTCAGTTGGTGTGCGAACATCATTGTACTGTACTCGACTGAGACACACCACACTATTTCTTTTTGTGAGGTCACTCGATCACACCATATGTCTATAGGGCATGTGAAATATGAGTTGTTTAACTTTTTTCGTTGAAAAGTGAATATTGATTTGGGCACACACACACACACATATATATATATATATTTATATAGTCGAACTGAAAATCAGACAGATGTGGTTGACTCATCCAGCTCAAACAGCTCCCCTGTATCATGTGAGCATGTGCATGAGTGCATAGGAGAACGGCAGTCAATATCTACGCCCTCGATTAGACAATTATTTCCCGCAAACTTTAGTTCAGTGACGCATTTGTGAAATTCGCACATTGTATGGCCAAATATGTTACTACCCTATTGGAATTACCGTTCCGAGAAACGTCTACATGAAATTCAGAACAAAAGGTTAGATTTGAATGACGACTATCGATTTTTCCTTCCCAGGCAGACAGTGAATTGATCTACGGGGATTAGTGTATTATATGACATCAGTATAAATGAGATTAATGGCGGCAGATGTATCAACCCCATGGAATTCGGTTAGTGATTCCACAGAAAAAGTAATCTACTCGGAACATCTTAAAGAAAGTACGTTATAAACGCAAACCCTTATCCGTCACAAAATGCGACTTCGAACTAAAAACGTACACGCACCAATCCACTTCCCCTGCGAACGTAAACTGTGAAGCAGACCAAACTAGGGAAAATGAATAGTTGGTTGGAATTAAAGTAAACGGTGAGGATTTATTCACAGTCAAACGCAGCACTCGCTTCCTCATCCGATGCAGGAGAACGGGGGCGGTAGATTGGGGTAAAAAATGGATGGGAACATGATGCCAAATGGCTTAATGGATAGGTGAATGGGTACCGGCGAAAGGATAACGAGATATGATAGACTAAGTGATACGACATATGCACTGGTATGAGCCAGGCAACTGTGTGCTTGTGTGTTGAACACCAATGACTTCCACATCCCCAAAGAAATCAAAAGTTGGCAAATACCTCTGGTAATCGAGAGCATTAAATGTCAAATCGCACATAATTAGGTATGACCTTCTTGAACAGGATGAAATCCGAAATGTGAAGCCCATCGGGCAAAACCAACTGACAGATTTCCTGAATTACATGAACCATTGGGCAAACCTGTATGGAAGGCTCCAGCAGAAAATCGTCAATATATATATATATATATATATATGTGTGTGTGTGTGTGTGTGTGTGTGTGTATGAATCCATGCCGCCAGTAAATTGACTTATAGGAGCCTTGGCACGAGTTCGACCACTACAAAAGTGGATTGGAACAACGTGACAACCTTAGTTTAATTTTAGTTCACACAACCATTAATTTCGGTAATTTCGGTCTCTATCTAACCCTGGCTTACTCGGTTGATCAACGAAGAAGTGACTGAAGAATAAAATAAAAGCTAGGGAATACACTGAAATGAAATGACAGAATGCACATAAATTAGACATGGATTGAGTAAACAATTGAGAGCATCTAATCCCCTAGTAAGCTGACCGAAACATGAAGCTCAACACGATCCATATGACCAAGTCCTCTGGTCAGGGGTTTCACACCAGGTTTTATCGCGACTACTCTTCCCACTGTTTCTCGTATTGAGAGAGGGAGAGAGTATTCTGTACGCATCCGGACAATCTGTGGGCCTCCAGAACGGATAATTAGCCACGTTGGAGCATGTCGATGTCATTAAGCGAGCATTATCGTATCATCAATAAAAACAACTGATGCAAACACGCTTTGGAGAGCTGTATATCCTAGCATATCCGCATATATATATATATATATATACCACGCACGTTTCACATAGGTCCGGCATATCTAATCACGCGTATCATTATCCGGGAGAGGAAAATGAAACTGAAGGCCATGCGAATAACCGAAACAATCGGATTCGCAAACAACAGTTTTTGGGCAACAGAACAAAATGAGGACTATTGTGGAACCAGGGATTTCGATGCCACCACTATGCTATAAGGTGATGAAATCACACATTCAAACAGCTTTTAACCACAGATTCAAATTGTAAAATGAAAAGGACTGAAGCCGAAAGTGTATGAAGCTGTCGGGGGTGGGAGGGGAACTCACATGCACACAACAAGAATGTCAGAACAGAAAAAAGTGAAACAAATTTGTGCGCAAGTCTTTTCGATGACCGACAAAGAGCATTGTACAGCTGTTTCGTCGTGTTTGGGAGTGAAAGTCACCCACCAAAACCAGCGCACGAAGTGAATAGTTACGGTTATACAAACTGAAGGTGAATAATGCCTGGTCCTGTACAAAACTGAATGGGTTAATCCAAACATCCACCGTCTGTATTTCGTGTGTGCTAGTAGGCTATGCTTGACCAGAATCGATAAGTTCTGTACAACGGAAAAGGTGGAGCTGGGGACGAATGATCGAACGTAATTTCATGTCGAAGGCTAACAACAAGAGACCGGAGATACGTATTGCGAGAATACATACAATACAACATTGTAACCCAGGTTACGAAAACAAACCAAACACATGTATACGAGGTTGGAGGGTACAACGGTCTATGCTCGACACAAGATAGTGGACGAACAACCAGTCAGATGTAGTAGATGTGACAGTATTAATCGATCGACGTGTGTGAACAATCATGCATGAACACGTGAGACCCGACGAACTCATGGTCAGAATAGCACGTGTGTAAGGATGAGTTAAAAGCCACGCGTGTGTGTGCGTCTGTGTGCGCAGTCCGTTTGGTACGAGTGAGATTCTGTTCGCACGACCCGGAGGTACATGGGACGATAACGCTGGTTCGCGTGTCTCTCTCCGTGGTCGGTCGGAGTCAACCAATCGAGTACGATGGTGCAGCGCTCTCATTCGCACATATGCGTATTTGTATGTGTGTGTGAGTGTAGGTGTGGTTATCTACCTGCACACCGTTGCTAGGTTGTAACACTCAGACTCACTGGTCGACTTGTGGAACAGCCGTGAAACAAACGAATCAAAACAGATGGACGTCTATATGAAGACAAGCACGGTAACATGCAGGAGACTATAGAAGGCTAGGGGAAATGGGTCAGACTACGCTGATGGGAAATGCATAGGGCACATGACAGCGTAGTGCGGGAGGTGGATATTTGAGCATGTGATTGACGGTGTGACAAGTGTTTCATTCATTCGCTAGAACATTGTTAATGAACACAACGTGATGAGGACGTCAATAAGTGAAGGTGGTCTGAAAACCACACATAAATTGAAGCTAAGTTATGGTCGAAAGAGAGATCATACAGATCGAACTAGTTAGAGTTTCGGAGTGGAAATATCGGGTGGTAAGATGAATTTAAGTGAACGGTGGCGTTATTCAAATTCGAATTATCAACCAAAACGGCAGAAGTACTCAGGTCGGTTAGGTATGACCAATGGCTTTTGTTTTGTGCAGATTCTAAATGAACAGGAAAGCGAGTAGAGGAACAGTATCACTTAGGAGCAACAACTGCGTTTCCTTATGTTCCCAAACACAGTATACCACGCAATGGGTTAACTTAAATCACAACGTACAACGGACCTGAGTGAGCGGTGCACACCAACGGAAAGGTATCGTGGTGGCACAGTCTCCGTGTAAGGAGCGTTGGCCGTTTCACTGACGATATCCACTACTGTGACGCCATAGATGCATTAGTCACATCAATGTATTCCACTGTTCAAAACTTCTACAACAGTACTTCCACGTTGTGCCCAATCAACAGACCACCACCACCGGTGAAGGTATCGGACACAGTGCCACCATTCATGATTGTTAGAGAATACAAGCGGTACAAAACACCCGCAAAGACCATTAGAGAGGGATAGCTTTCATCGACTGCGCCAGTTTGTTGAATCGTACAAGCGGAAGCTCCAAAACCGGTATCTTCACAATAGGATATCGTACAAATCCGTCTCAAAAACGGGACGCTTAGGACAGCACAGTGAGAGGAATTCCATATTGGATGTGCGAATTCCGTGCACACAATGCTCACAATGGGCAGTACAACATTAGCAGTCTTCAATGCCTTAGGAAATCGATGAGTGACAAATTGGGCATACATAAAACTTGGAGATCATATGGTCGGAATAGATGCAAGATAAAAATAAAAGAAAAAGAATCAGTGGGACTGGCTTGTCAGAATTTCAAAATACCTCGCTTATGATCTACGTCACGTAGAGAAAGGCCAACTTTTAACAGATATGAATCTGATATAAAAAATAGTGAAGAGAAAGCTATAAGCAAAAAGTGTCTAAATAGTACCATTGAGCACATTTCAAACAAAACAACAGAGTGGCGAACAAGCTCGTTTTCAGATATTCGTATTCATGCCAATACATCTTAATATATATCACTACTTAGGAATAAAATTGGCTTAGGAAAATCAAATCAAACCAAAGATTACTAGAAACGATTTCATCATGAGACCGGAAATCGGGTTCACCACGATCACAAATTTGTTTGTCCACTCATCCAATTATTGAGATTCCTCATATATTTCGGAACGCATGCGGACAGGTGGATCAAACACAGTCAATTAAACAGGTCGCACCATTCAGAACACTTTAGTATTGAATACTATTTGGAGCATGAGTCTCCATGCACTTAGCTGAAGAAATGAGAACCTCGAGTTCCGTGATTTGGATAGCTATACATGTGCACCCATACGGTCATCCTTTTTATTGTCCCTGCAGAGACTAGAGGATACAACAAACTCAACCTGATCGAGCGGTATCCAAATCAGAGAGTTTGAGGGCACCTTCGCTGGTCTAAATATGAACTTTATATCCAAATTAGCGATATGTTCAGCCTCCCTCTGGAATGAATTAAAATTTTCTGATGAGAGTTGCTCGGTCAATCACATATGTGAACCACTTTCTACTAAGACGGAAATTGGAGAATAGAGTAGTCCAGCAATAGTAAAAACGAAGCATTATTTCACCCGTCTGAAAAGGTGGATGTCGTGATGACCCCGCTAGCTATCAGCCCGCAACTCTCCTTCCAGATATATCCAGATTCACGGACTCGATTGAGGCAGATTCCCTGATGGAACACTTAAAAAAGTATAGCTTACTTTCCTCAGTTCAAAAAAGATTCCGGTAAAAGCGATCCTTTCATAACAACTAACTTCATGCTCGATATGACTGAACAATAGCAATCGACGAAAGAGACGCGGTCTATCTGAACTTACCAAAAGCAGTCGACCAGGTAAACCACCATATACTGTGGTATAAGCGTTACAAGTATGGCATCCGAGGCCTCATATAGGCTGGAGTTGTAAGAATTATGATTACATGCGAGAGCGCCACTGTGTGCGACACTCATCCCTTTATTCAGTGTCTCTAACCACCGGTTATCATGATCTCGAGGTCCCCATCCAGGAAAACTAACGGTACCTATGTGACAGTCTTCTGGTTAGGGTTTTCATACACTCATGCTCGATCTTGGTTTGACTTTTTGATCTTTTTCCAGCCGATTTCTGCCTCGGCAAACATCGCTCGCTGAGGCACGATCTTACAATTACGGGAACTGAGGAAATTTCTTATGATACACTCCCTCGCTTAGCACGAGCTTGGAGAGATTCAGCATAAATAATCCATCTTCCGCCCCCCCCCCCCTAA